TTAATAACAGGGAAAACTTTGCAGAGGAAGGGGTAAATATATAGGAACTCCCTACACTATCTGCTTAATTTTTCTGTATATCTAAAATAAAAAAAAAATCTATTAATTAAAAAATTGCACTAGAAGAAATGTAGGGAATGGACTGAAAAGGAACTACAGGGAATGCAGGCAAGAATGTCAGCTAGGAGGCTATGGTAATACCAACTTTCTCTCCCATGAACAGTGTATGAGAGTCAATATTTATTTTTATTTTTGCCAGAAATGGGTATTATGATTATTGGTAAAAAATTACTTATTCAAGTTCATATTTTCTTTTAAAAAAAATTTTTTTTCCAACGTTTTTTTATTTATTTTTGGGACAGAGAGAGACAGAGCATGAACGGGGGAGGGGCAGAGAGAGAGGGAGACACAGAATCGGAAACAGGCTCCAGGCTTTGAGCCATCAGCCCAGAGCCTGACGCGGGGCTCGAACTCCCAGACCGCGAGATCGTGACCTGGCTGAAGTCGGACGCTTAACCGACTGCGCCACCCAGGTGCCCCTCAAGTTCATATTTTCTTAATGACTAATGAGGCTGAGCATCTTTTCATCAGATAACTGACCATTTGTTTCATTTGTTTTTCTGTTTTATGTCCTTTGTCTATTTTTCAGTTGAGTTGTTTGTCCTTTCCTTATTGATTTACAAATTCTTTGAGTTCAAGCTTCTGTATTTTATCAGTTTTTAAAATATCTTTTTTTGGGGGGTTGCCTGGGTGGCTCAGTTGGTTAAGCATCTGACTTCGGCTCAGGTCATGATCTCACAGCTCATGAGTTCGAGCCCTGCACTGGGCTCTGTGCTTTTTTTTTTTTTTTTTTTTTTAATGTTTATTTATTTCTGAAGGAGAGACAGAGCATGAGTGGGGGAGGGACAGAGAGAGAGAGAGGGAGACACAGAATCCAAAGCAGGATCAAGGCTCTGAGCTGTTAGCACACAGCTCAACCTGGGGTTTGAACTCACAAGCTCAGAGATCATGACCTGAGCGGAAGTTGGTCGGTTCAACTGAGCTACCCAGGCACCACTAAAAATATCTTTTGAATTTTATAACATCATTTGTAACCACTGCATACTATTTTATTAACATATTATAGCTTACTCATTGTTTAAAGCCAGTTCTCAATAGTCTTATTTATTTTTAAAGGTTTATTTTTGAGAGATAGATAAGGCATGTGTGGGGGAGGGCCAGAGAGAGAGAGTGGGAGACACAGAATCCAAAGTAGGCTCCATGTTCTGAGCTGTCAGCATAGAGCCCGAAGTGGGAATGGAACCCACAAACCATGAGATAATGACCTAAGCCGAGGTCAGATGCTTAACCAACTGTGCCAACCAAGCACCCTCTCAATAGTTTTTTAATATCACAGATACCATTATGAAAATTCTGTGCATAGAATTTTCTCCATTATGAATTCTTTCCTTTGAACACCTTTTTGTAATTGAAATTACTGAATCACACAAACACATTTTTATACTTTTGATAGGATATTATCAATTTAACTGCCATCAGCAATATATTAAAATTCTAGATTCACTTCATACTCACAAGCACTAAGTATTATAATATTTAAATACATTTGCTAATTTAGTAACATAAAATTTTTCTTTCATTTTTTTTAAACAGAAAGAGTGAAAAAAAAATAAAAAAAAATAAACAGAAAGAGTGAATGTACTTGAGTGGGGGAAAGCAAGAGAAAATCTCAGGCAGGCTCCATACCCAGAGCAGAGTCCAACATGGGGCTCGATCCCACCACCTCAGGATCATGACCTGAGCGAAAACCAAGAGTCTAATGTTCAACCAACTGAGTCACCCAGCTGCTCCTAAAATTTTTCCTTTTATTTACTTGTAGTTTTCTTTAACTTTTAGTGAGAACCAATACTTTCTCATATAACTGGTTTTGTTTTTTCTTGAGAAATTTTGGTTTATATTCTTGCTCACTAATCTATAAGAATATAAGGATTTTTTCTTTGATCACAATAACAGATCTATATGGATATTTTAATAGTAAACTAGCCCTCTGTTGTCTCCATTTGCTGCAAACACTTTTTAGATTCTATTGGTTTCCATTTATTTATTATCATTAGATATAGAAAATTGAATTTTTATGTAGTAAATCTAACAATTTCTCCTTTGTAAACAGTTCTATCCTTTTTTTTTTTTTTTTTTTTAAGAGTTAGAGAGAGAATGTGAGTTGGGGAGGAGGGCAGAGGGAGAGAGAGAATTTTAAGCAGGCTCTGGGGCACCTCTGGTGGCTCAGTCTATTAAACATCCAGCTCTTGATTTCAGCTCAGGTCATGATCTCAAGGTTGGGGAGACTGAGCCTCACGTCAGGCTCTGCACTGATAGCATAGAGCCTGCTTGGGATTCTCTCTCTGTGTCTCTTTTTCCCCCTCTGCTTCTCCCTACCTTTGTGCACGTGACTGCATGCTCACTCTCTCTCAAAATAAATAAATAAACATAAAGAAAAAAAAAAAAAGAAAAAGAAAAAGGAATCTTAAGCAGGCTCCATGCTCAGGGTGGAGCTTGACACGGGGCTCAATCCCATGACACTGGGAGCCTGACCTAAGCCAAAATCAAGAGTCAGATACTCAACCAAATGAGCCACTAAGGCACTTTTATCATTTAAAATTTTTTTTAAAATTTAGATTTAAGTTTGTTAACATACAGTGCAATATTGGTTTCTGGAGTAGAATTTAGTGATTCATTACTTACATATAACACCCAGTGCTTATCACAAGTCCCCTCCTCAGTACCCATCACTCCACCCTAGCCCATCTTCCACCCACCTCCATCAACCCCCAGTTTATTCTCTATCATTAAGAGTCTGTTGTGGTTGGGGTGCATGGTGGCTCAGTCAGTTAAAGCATCCAACCCTTGATTTCGGCATAGGTTGTAATCTCATGGTTTGTGGGGTTGAGCCCCCTGTTGGGCTCCACACAGACAGCATGGGGCCTGTTTTGGATTCTCACCTCCCTCCCCTCCCTCCAACATCTCTCTCAAAATAAATAAACATTAAAAAATAAAGTTTGTTGTGGTTTGTTTCCCTCTCCACTCCCTTCCCACATGTTTATGTGTTTTGTTTCTTAAATTCCACATATCAGTAAAATTGTATCATATTTGTTTTTCTTGGACTGACTTATTTTGCATAGTATAATACATTCTAGCTCCAACCATATCATTACAAATGGGAAGATTTCATTCTTTTTGATGGCTGAGTAATTCCATCGTATATAAATACTGTATATTCCTTACCCAGTCATTAGTCAATGGATATTTGGGTTCTTTCCATAGTTTGGCTGCGTGCAAGTGAGTTCTCCTTTCTCTGCATCCTTACCAACACCTATTGTTTCTTGTGTTGTTAATTTTAGCTATTCTGACAGGTGTGAGGTGGTATCTCATCATGGTTTTGATTTGTATTTCCCTGATCACGAATGACGTTGAGGATCTTTCCATGTGTCTGTTTGCCATCTGGATGTCTTTGGAAAAATGTCTACTCATGTCTTCTGCCCTTTAAAAAAATATTTATTTATTTTTGAGAGAGGGAGAGGCAGAGGGAAAGGGGGACAGGGGAAGAGGGAGAGAGGGAGAGGCAGAGGGGGAGAGGGGGAAAGGGGGAAAGGGGGAAAAGGGGGAGAGGGACAGTGCACGAGTAGGGCAGGGGCAGAGACAGAGGGAGAAAGAAAATCCCAAGCAGGCTCCAGCTTCAGCGCAGAGCCTGATGCAGAGCTTGAATGCACGAACCGCAAGATCATGACCCAAGTTGAAATCAAGTCACACACTTAACTGACTGAGCCACCCAGGTGCCTTCTGCCCATTTCTTAACTGGGTTATTTATTTTTTGGGTGTTGAGTTTGGCAAGTTCTTTATAGATTTTGGATACTATCAGATATGTTGTTTGCAAATATCTTCTGCCATTCTGTAGGCTGCCTTTTAGTTTTGTAGATTGTTTCCACCTGTTCTATCATTTCTAAACCTAAATGACTATACTCCATTCAGTAGTTTGAAAATTATACTTTCTTTGTATTTTTCAAGATTCAATGATTTATGTTTAACTTATAATTATGACTAAACTTTTTGTTTACAATAATAGTTATCATTTACTGGGTATTCACTATATAATAGGTACTATTCTAGGCCCTGTTTATATATGTAAATTTATTTAATCTTTACAACTACTCTCTATAGGTTAGTTATTTTTAGTATCCCAATTTCAAAGATGAGGACACTAAAGCCTAGTGTGGGTGGTTAAGTAATTCAGCTATATCACACAGGTAGTATAGTTGGCAGAACCTGTTTTTGTTTGTTTTTATTTTTGAGAGAGAGAGTCTGAGCAGTGAAGGGGCAGAGAAGGGGCCAGAGGATTTGAAGCAGGCTCCGTGCTGTCAGCAGAGAGCCTGATGCAAGGCTCAAACCCATGAACAGTGAGATCATAACCTGAGCTGAAGTTAGATGCTCAACCAACTGAGTCAGCCAGGAGCCCCCAGAACCTGGGTTTTAAGTAGCACAGTCTGACTCCAGAGCCTGTGCTCTTAACCAATATATCATATACTGATACTCAAGTTATCTCAATGCCATTTTAAAGAAATAATTCTTTTTTTTAACCATTATTTTGTGATGCCTCCTTTACTAAAATTCTTTTCACAGGGTCTCTTCTTAGGACTATTAAAAAAAAAATTTTTTTTTAATGTTTATTTTTAAGAGAGAGGGAGAGAGAGAGAGTGCGAACAGGGGTGGGGCAGGGAGAGAGGGAGACACAGAATCCAAAGCAGGTTCCCTCTAAGCTGTCAGCACAGAGCCTGACGCAGGGCTCAAACACACGAACCGCGACATCATGACCTGAACCGAAGTCGGACGCTTAACCAACTGAGCCACCCAGGTGCCCTTCTTCTTGGGCTAGTTTGCTCTACTGATTTGTCTTTTCCAAAAATATCAAGTACTTGAAGAAAAAAACAATCTTAAGACATCCTTACCATACACTGGTGTCTTCCCTGGCAGGATGACGATAATGAGCTGCAGCCCTGAGTAGGTGTTCTTGAGATGCCGGAACATGGGCTCCACGCTGTCCGCCCCCTGCGCGTATTTGCAGAAGCAAGGCTGGCCCTGGATGGGCATCCCTGCATCTTTAGAAATCTTACGCAGCTGGTCCGTGAAACCCCTAGAAAGAGAAATCACTAAAACTAAATCCTTTGTCTAATTATTCACATCTACAAAGTGGAATGGAAAGTTTGAGAAGTGAATGGAAAATGAAGCAAAGATCTGTGTGCTCCATATATGAAGAGGTCACCAAGATTACTGAAATAAAGGCAATGGGGGGTCAGTAATCTATTTTCCAAACTAAGAACATTACTATAGAATTATGTGGTATTCTGTAGTTTATAAAGGGCATTAGTAATACAGTGTGCTGGTTAAGAGTTCATTTCTAGACTTAGCATGACAGGTTTCAATCCTAATTCTGCCAATTACTAGCTCTGAAATCTTAAGCAAAATTTTTTAGCTTCTCTCATCTGTAAGATGATTACTTCCATTACAGAATTGGTGTGAATAAAGTGAGATAATAAATGAGCTTAGCACACTGCCCAAGACATGGTAAGAACTTGATAAATTTAAACTATTGTACGTTTCTTTTTTTTTAAATAAGTGTTTATTTTTTTTAACATTTTTATTTATTTTTGAGAGAGACAGAGAGACACACACACAAAGTGTAAATAGGGGAGAGGCAAAGAGGGAGACAAATAATCTAAAGCAGGCTCCAGGCTCTGAGAGGTCAGTACAGAGCCTGATGTGGGGCTCGAACCCACACACTGTGAAATCATGACCTGAGCTGAAGTCAGACACTTAACTAACCAAGCCACCCAGGTGCCCAATTTCTTTTTTTTAAGTGTTATTTATTTATATTTGAGAGAGACAGAGAGAGAGGGAGAGAGAGAGCACATACATGAGCAGGGGAGGGGCAGAGGGAGAGGGAGACAGAGAATCCCAAGCAGGCCCTGCACTGTCTGAGCAGAGTCTAAATGCAGGGCTCAAATTCACAAACCGTGAGACCATGACCTGAGCTAAAACCAAGAGGATGCTTAACAAAACTGAGCCACTCAGGTGCCCCATTGCACATTGTCTAATTTGATCATGACAACATTCATAAGAAAGTGGTAGGTGAGGTATTATTTCTATTTTACAGATGAGGCAACAGTTTCAGGGACAAGTATTTGACCAATGTCTAATGGCTACATGAATGTAGAGTCAGAAGTATGACCTACTCCAAAATTTCCTTCCACAATATTATGTATCTGATACTAGAACAGCAGGGAAGGTTGTGTCTTCAGAAAAGATATATTAAAAAAAAAAAAAAAAAAAAAAAAAAAAAAAAAAAAAGAAACCAAGAAACCAACATTTAAGAACAAATGAGGCAGGAAGCATTTCAATGCATTTTATCCACACTAAAAAAACCCCAGAAGACTAAATCCATATTAAAACAAAATTCTGCATTTAACTTAAGATAAACAAGTAATGATGTCATGCTTTAACAATCACTTTACTTGTTTTTAAAACAAATAAGGTCCTAAGCCAAGGATCTGAGTCATCTTTGCTCAAAAACATGCTAATTCCCTTAGAGACAAAGTTTGTAGGAATTCCCTTCTCCTTTTCCTTATTAGTGTTTAATTCAATAAGTATGAAGTTGGATATTTTCAGTCAGCCTGAACAAGAACTACTAGCTGAAAGATTATGAGATTTCTATCAAGCCATGAATAACAAATGTAAAATGAAAAGAGTAAGTCTAAGCCTGAAAAACAACTGGAGGCATTTTCTTTGGTCTTAAGGTCAAGATAATCATAGCATCGTAGTAAACTATTCTTCTGACATTTTACTTGAAAGCAAGGGGATAAAAACTCTGGAGAAAAATGTATATTAAGTGAACCTTAAGACATACGTTTAGAAATTTAGAGTTAATAAGAAGTGAACATAATTAAATAGAAAAAATATTTTTATTTCTCATATGAAGGCAAAGCAAATTCTGAACTGACCTGGTTGGTAAACTGTATCTTTCAAGAACTATTCATTATGAGTATACTTTATAAGATCTATTAGTGGAGATTGAACTTAGACAGTAATCATTTTCTTTCAAGGAAGGTGACAAAATGGAAGTCTGGAAGCCTGTCCACTGAAAATGGACCATTTTTTGTTTGTTTTCAATTTAAACAGAAGCTTACTGAGCACTTATATGCTGAGGAAATGAATTTGGGAAAAAGGGAAGAAAGTGGTGGAGATGGAGGTCAAATTTTCGAAAGTAAGGAAGTGAAAATGAAGAGTTAAATCATTTTTTCAAGGAGCTCAATTGAGAAATAAGGATTTTATTTCATCCTCACCCAAGAGATAGGTATTATTATCTCTAAAAAGGTGAAAACTGAAGCATAATGAAATTAAATAAATTATTCATGATAATATAGCCAGGAAGTGGCAAGGCTAGGAATTAAACATAACCTATTTGCCATCAAAAGCCAATGATGCTCCTTCCATACCACATAAGCTGGACTGTTAAGGTGCCTACAAGCATGAATCAATAACTTTACTAACAAATTCAGAAAGTACTGACAAGAAACATTTTCAAAGGCTCAGTGATTACTCCATATTGAGACAATACAGTTAAAACATTAGCTAAAGTAGTTTAAAATTGAAACACAAAAAAATTCTCAAACCAATGTAATGATATGCCTTACTTCAATATTTCTTCTCTGCACTGCCTCTGTGTGGCGAAACAAGCTATAGCCCACATTTTTATTTCAACTCCTGTATGGAACTGTTTCCCTCGCATGTCCCATACTCCATGGCTTGGTGTTGCTACTGTCCGATTCTACAGAAAAAGGAAAAAGAGAAATAAGGCAAAAAAGAAATACTTAACATACAATTTATTTTAATGAGCTGAAAAGAAAAACATTTCAAATTGCTGAATTGATGTATATCTGACATTCTACATGTAATAGGCTACTCTACATCAATAGTATTTCTATTTTTTATCCTACAAAACCAAAACATCTAAACTCTGGCAAAGATACCCAGAAGAAAAAAGTATTGTTGGAGTAAAACAACACTTTCTAATCTCAGACTTAGTTGGGATGCCCTTCTCTTTATAAACAGAAATTGTTTTTAATTTAAAAACCATCAACAGGTTTTACCCGTCCTCCATACTGCAGCATAGGTGCTGGGAGTACACGTCCGGTTACATGGGCCATTTCATCCCGAACTTTAAATTGAAACTCTTGAACAAATGGATCTGTTTCATAATTTGCACTTCTTACCTAACAACAGAAAAAGTTAGTAGTTATTTTCAAAATTTTCCCCAACCCCTGCTTTATTCATTAGAACCTTCCATTTTCGTCTCTTCACTGTATCAATAATGTTTTAGATCTAGTAATGGTGCCTTAATTACAGGATAGAGAATCTTAACCTGGGACTACAGATCATGAATGGACTGTAGAAGTCTGTGAACCTCCTGGTAATTTACATAAATTTAAATGTATAAGGTAGAATAATAAGAAATTTCAACTATTTATAATCCATGAAAATGGCAATTTTATGTGATTAAACCTAATACATTTTGGAGAGGGTGGTCTAGGGATCATTAGAGGAAGAAACTTGTGACCTAAAAAATAAAAACTTCTAATTAGAAGATTCAGGCATATATTATTAAATTTTACTTAGAGTTTGACAGCAGCTATTGATGATTTTGAGGCTTTTTTCCCCTGAATCATTTGATTTACAATTTATATAAAACTACTTGAATATATTCTGACAAAAATTGCCATATTATAAAATATACTTAATGGGATACACTTAAAACAGATAAGGAAACCAGTATAAGATAAATAATTTTTACAAAATATATCTGTAGGTACGAAGATTAAGATTTTATTAAAAAAATTTTTTTAAGTTCATTTTGTGTGTGTGTGTGTGTGTGTGTGTGTGTGAGAGAGAGAGAGAGAGAGAGAGAGAGAGAGAGAGATAATGAGGGGGAGGGACAGAAAGAGAGACAGAGGATCTGAAGTGGGTTCTGCACTGACTACAGAGAGCCTGATGTGGGGCTCGAACCCTGAGATCATGACCTGTGCTGAAGTCAGATGCTTAACTGACTGACCACCCAGGTGCCAAGAATTTATTTTAATTCAGTACAGACTTGGACCTCATAATATAATTCATGTTTATAGCATACTATAGTAACTATGTTTTTTCAAAACATATTTACTTGGTCTCAGTGTAGAGGTCAAATAAGGTTACAAAATGAAGGCAGTATTCAAGTGTTTGAGCAACAATCCATTAAAAAAAAAACTATATAGGGCGCCTGGGTGGCGCAGTCGGTTAAGCGTCCGACTTCAGCCAGGTCACGATCTTGCGGTCCGTGAGTTCGAGCCCCGCATCAGGCTCTGGGCTGATGGCTCGGAGCCTGGAGCCTGTTTCCGATTCTGTGTCTCCCTCTCTCTCTGCCCCTCCCCCGTTCATGCTCTGTCTCTCTCTGTCCCAAAAATAAATAAACTTTGAAAAAAAAAAAAAACAACTATATAATTTAAATATGTAAAAAAAAAAATCTTCCCACAATAAACAGAAGAGTTGTTTTCTAAATTAGGCACTAATGCTTCTCCAAGCTTAAATGCCATTCATTTCTGGTGTGTTTCAGTGTACCTTCATAGTAAAGTTGCAAAGAATAACAACTACTATAAATAAAAACTTGCTGTGTGATGTGCTTGGTGTTAAGTTGTATAATTAATTCCCACAATAAACGTATACCTATAAACGTAGGTCTTTTGTAACTTTTATAATCTTTACAAAGGATAAACCTAAAGCTTAGTTCAGTTAAGTGACTGGCCTAGAACCATATAGCTAAGCAAGTGACCTAGAATCTGAAACCATGTATGTTCTAATTCTAGAATTCCTATTCTCAATCACTGCACTAGTCTTCCAGATGGTATAATTGTAATTTTTTTTAATGTTCATTTTTGAGAGAGAGAGAGAGACAGACAGACAGAACACAAGCAGGGGAGGGACAGAAAGAGAGGGAGACACAGAGTCCAAAGCAGGCTCCAGGCTCCGAGCTGTCAGCACAGAGACTGATGTGGGGCTTGAACTCATGAACCATGAGATCATGACCTGAGCTGAAGTCAGATGCTTAACTGACTGAGCCACCCAGGTGCCCTGTAGATGGTATAATTATAATAATACAATAATGGTAACAGTAAGTAAGCACAGAAGATGGACCCCAGAACTGTTAGATTCCAAAGCTTGTACTTTAACTACTGTATGATATTCTCTCTTTGGATAGGAAAGCTGAAATAAATGAGTTATAAGTAGTTATTGAGATTTCAGAGACAGTGAGAAGTTCTAGCCTCTTAAAGGCTTTAAAACCCTGTCATAGATCATAAAAAAATCCATGATGAGAACAAATCTGTATTTTCCTAATTAAGTATCGTGTGATAGCTTTTATTTGCTCTTTATAAAACTATACAGGAATTTCCCATAATTGGCTCACAAAATGAAAAGGCCAGTTGTTAACTTTTTTATAACAATCTTCATTATTACTCAAAGCAATATTCCTATTTCCAGACTTTTTCCTTTTCACTTACATAATTTAAATGGCATTCAAGAAGAGAATAAGAGAAGATCCAGGTTCCTTTTATTTTTCATTTTGCCTTATCCCATCAGTTTTATAAAGTGGTACTGCTACTTTCCTTCTCTTCCACTCACAACAACGATATAGCTTAGAGACCCTACATAGTTGGAGCAGTCTTGTATTTCTTTCTTTCTTTCTTTTTATAAAATTTACTTATTTATTTTGAGAGAGAGAGAATGAGTGGAGGAATGGCAGAGAGAGGGGGGACAGAAGATCCAAAGTGGGCTCTGTGCTGATAGCAGGGAGCCCAATGTGGGGCTTGAACTCACAAACTGTGAGATCATGACCTGAACCAAAGTCAGACAGTTAACCAACTGAGCCACCCAGGCACCCCAGTCTTGTATTTCTTTATTCATCCTATACAGCTACCAGTCTGATACTGGGTACTAAGCAATTCTACTGATAGTTAAGACTCACTATTGCTAGTCATAATACCTTGATTTTTCTTCCTTCTCCTTTACTAGGTGGGAGGTAGTAAAGTTCCAGTTCACTAAACTGAAACACTGGTTCTGAGAGAATCTGCTCTAGATCTACAATTAAAGAGCTTGGGGTTAAATTAGAAGGATCTAACCCTTCTCATAGAACCCATTAAGGTTTACCCCTAGAACACCAATGAATGACTTCCATGATCCCTTTTAATTCTGATAGTCCATGAAATGGTAATAAGTAAGGTATGAGCTGATAAGGACATGGCTCTTCAGTAGTAGCTCATCCTAACATGTTTTTAATTCACATTTCTAGGGTCAAGTACTAACCAATCTGCTAATCTCCTCTTGTCTATCTGGCGCAGATCTTGCTGTTGCTTTGATCATAGTGGAAGTCTGATTGTCCGTTAGTTTCTTGATACATCGTTGCCCGGCCACGATATTACAGACCTACAAATGGAAAAAAGTTTTGTACTAGATGCATATATCTTTTTTTAACTCTCATTGGTAATTACATGTGAAATTAAAATTTCTTAAAATGTCTGTTTATTATGTTTGAGAAAGAGAGAGAGCATGAGCAAGGGAAGGGAAGAGACAGAGAGAGAGAGAGAGAGAGGGAGGTAGGGAGACAGAGGATCCCAAGCTGTGCTGACATCAGAGAGCCTGATATGGGGCTCAAACTCATGAACCATGAGATCATGAGCTGAGTTGAAATCAAGAGTCAGACACTTAACCAAGTGAGTCACCCAGGCACCCCTAAACTGCTTCTTTTTAATATGTTAAGAAGTAGTAAACAATACTGCTTTATAGTATGATTATAACAGGGTAAAATGTACACTCGATAAAAAGGCTGAAAAGAAGTGTACCAAAATGTTAACAATGGTTACTTTAGAGCAATAAGGATTTGTGGATGAAATTTTCCATATTATTTCATTACTAAAATTTTAAAATAAAATTTAAAACAGTTCAATCTCCAAAATAAATGCGAGAGTCTGAAGTAAGTTATATGCCATAAAAACCCCAACAGAATGATGAACAAGAGGATATTAAGAAATAGCCTAAACACATTACTTCTAGTGGCAGGTAGGTATGTTTCTGTTCCTGCCCCACTTGCAGACAAGGAAGGTGTGGGTACTTCAGCTGAAGAGTATACTTTTCTCTGAAATACTGTGCTACTGTTCTCTCCACAGTTTGGCCATTTTCTAACTGTAAAGGAAAGCTGGAGAAAAAAAAAAAAGTACACATTAACAACTCTCATCTCATTATGGTGAGCAAAACTCCCAATCCACTAACTACAGCAAGCTGCCTCATATCATCTCTGCTCTGACAAACACCAGCTTTTCTTACGTTTGATGACTGGCAGGCCTTCTTGTTACATTACAAACACGGTATTTCCGTCTCATTGTTCCACAATGAGTCACTTCAACCTTCAGACCTGTTCCCAACAAGAAAAACTGAGGTTATAGAACTGTCACATGTCAAATATTAATAAAGCCTGTTCACTACAGAAAAACTCAAATTCTAAACAGACAGAAAATTTGTGATACAGGCAATGTGAAATTAACATTTTATAAATAACATTGCTAGTAATGATTACAATCATGATATATCTATCTCCAAATATTTTCCCTATCCTATCAAGATCTACACACTAAAAAACAGAATCATAAAAGTTGCAAAGCCTATAGAGCAAGGGACAAAGTTCTCCATTAATTAAAAAAAACAAAACAACCTGTTTATAATAAATTTAGGTATTTATTGCTGGGAGAGGGAATGAGAAATGAAAGAAGAGCTGTAACAATTCTCCACATACTCCACAATTTTCAAAGTATGTGATATGTGAATAGTCTAGTCATCACACAGTGACTGAAGTTTAGAATTTAATAAATCTCAGAAGGAAGTCCTTCAAAGATTTTGAAAGTAGGAAGCAGAAAATTCCAGGCCCTTTAACAGAGGCAGAGTGACAATTTAGTTGAAGTATAGTATAGTGACACAACTCTCTTACTACTATTAGAAATTAAATGCAACCAAACAATTCTTAGAGCAGGTGACCCTGCCTTCCTATGGAATCACTGATCCCTTTGAGAATCTGATGAAAGCGGTAAACTCTCAGAAAATTGCATATACACATAGATGTTCTGGACCCTTGCAATCCATCTATGGACCATAGGAGTATGAAGATCCCAGACCTGCTTTACAAAGTGAAGCAATGGTCTTTTAAACCACTGGTAAAATCTTTGGGATTAATTTTCTTAAGCAGTACTGTCCAACAGAACTTTCTGAAATGATAGAATGTTCTACATCTGTGCTAATATGTAATCACTAGCAATATGTGTTATGGAGTACATGAAATGTGGCTAGTGTGAAAGTGAAAACTTAATTTCATTAATTTAAGTAGCTACATGTGGGTAGTGGTACCATATTTGCCAGTGCAATCTTGGAGCTACTTAGATAGAAAAGAGTAACAAATTGATACAGTTGCTGCTGCTTACAGATAAGCAACTCCATTACTATGGCTTAGACTCCAAAGGCAGAAAATCTAAAAAGGGGCAGATGAAGGACAACATTTAGTTTCCTGATAGTATTTATGGTTATTATTTTTGCATTGTTTCCCTGTTATATTTGTGATTCCTATTGTGCAGTGGTTTTCAACTACAGGCAATTTTGCTCTCCAGAGAACATTTGGTAATGTCTGGAGACAATTTTAACTGTCATGACTGGGAGGTGCTATGGGCATTTACTGGACGCTAGATTTAGGGATTCTTGGATCCAGGGATGATGCTAAATATCCTACAATGGACGGGACAGCACTACTTCCCACCCCAGACCACAATAAAGAATTATCCAGCCCCAAATGTTAATAGTGGCAAGGTTGAGAAACCCTGAAACAGTGTAATTTATTTTCCTATGTAATCACTAACTGCAGTACCAAACACAAAGTTCATTCACAGTAATATTTTCTTCTGATTTATCAGCACAAATTAAGATGTTAAATGCACATAGCGTCAACTGTACCAGATTGGTATGGATTTTTCTTGAGAAGTACTCCTAATTGAATCAGTGATATAAATAGTTTTTATTAGTAATTACTATTGTAAGACTAAATTTCAGATCAATTAGAGTATAAAACATGCCTCTATATTATAAAGGAAACTAGAAAATAAAGTACTATCAAGAGAAGGCCTTATAAGAAGGAAATGTGAAGTAAGCAATATGAAATAAGCAGGATGTAAAAATATTGTTTAGGGAGAAAACACAATATAAAAATTATAAAATTTTTTCTGTTATCTATACCACCTAGCCATTTGTTTTCAAGTCTTCCCCCTCAATTAAAGAAGTTATTAGTAATATTCTAATAGCCTACTAAATAAGTTTATACCAAAAATAAATTGGTTCTTGTATAAACATATGGTACTTTTACTACGTACACTTCCTCTGATATTTCTGTTAAACCATCATGAATAATTATACAAAGGAACAACCCTAAAGTTACTATTGAATATTTAGGAAAAAGTTCAACTGGAACTAATGAATATACTAAATAAATCTATTCGTTACAGCACAGTGTGTATCACTATTTAACAGTTACCATCAAATTCCTTTATGCTGTCTAAAAAATTAAGCCCAAATATATAGCACAGAACATAGAACTTTGATTCTGCTGAGTTTCCATGGTGGGTTACATGATGTATGTTAAAGAGCCTTCTTAAAAAAAAATAATAAGAAGAAAGCCTTTTTGAATTTGAATGGAGAAAAAAAATCATCAGTTGATCAAGTAGATCCAACTCAGATTTTTCTACCCCAAATCCAGGGTCATAGGTGCCTAAGGATTAGACCGAACCCAGGGCTTAGCAAAAAGTTGAAATTAAAAAAAAAAAAAAAAATGGACTAGATAATTCTCTGCCCAGGTCCCTCCCGAAACCCTCCATCCAACAAAAAAAAAAAAAACAAAAAAAAAACAAAAAAAATTTTTGGCTTTAATAAATCAAATATTTAACCTATAAACTTGGCTTTACCTTCACTCTAACATCAACTTTATAATGCTTTCTAGTCATTTTTTCAGTCATTTCTTTGGGCCCCTGAGCAGTTGAAGTTAAGATCGAGTCCATGCTCTTCGGGCAGCAGTTGAATCCTTGTTCTGTACATCTTGTATTTTCTGTGATAGAGTGGTGATATGAGTTGATTGCATAGTTACCGCAAAATAATGTAAGTGACTTCATGATATCAGAGGTGGTAACTAAGCAGCAACTCCACTGGAAACCATGGTATTTTGATGATCAGACATTAATGGTGGGTAATGCACTAACCTCTCGACAATGCTAACAGTGCAGTTAATACGGATTATGAAAGGACAATGATATGGTTGCAATACACTAATATATGACACTTTGTTATTTTGGCATTTAGATAACTTGAGATAAAATAGATGCTCATTTTCAAAGCAGGAAGAACTTTCCTTTTAATGTTTTATTACAATGACACTCTCTCTCTCCCCTGGGTACTGAATGGCAAAGAATGAATGATTACTGGAGCAAGCAGAATGCACTGAGGTATTCTAACTGATTCAGGGAACTGAAAGATGTTCAGTGAACACTGAAACAGTTCAATGTTTCATTCAAACCAGAAGCTGAAAATTATCTACAACAGTCAAAATCTTAAAATACAAACAAAACAAAACAATTTCTGACTATGTAAGATTTAACACTTACAAATGGAATTTATACTACTCATTCTAATTAGAGAATATCTAACTTTTCTTCTTGCCTAAATAATAAAAAACTAAATACAGTGGAGTCACATCTTTTTATTTTTTACATAATCTCTATACCCAACGTGGGACTCGAACTCACAACTTCAAGATCAAGAGTTACAAGTTCAACTAAGCCAGCCAGGTGCCCCCAGTGGAGTCACATGTTACATGAGGATTAAGTACTAAGTTATGAACAAGGCAAGAATTTTATACAATCAAAATTACTCGTGAAAAATACCTTCAATTGCTAATAAAGTACACTGTCAATAGGATTGCATATAAAACTATAAATGTATATTTAAATGTACATAGAAATGTACATTTAGATAAAGATGAATTACACACAAATTTTAGAACACTATTAAATTTTTCTTTTTCTCTCCAGAAGACCTTATAGAGATGAATTTATGTTAGTAAAATATACATAGGATGCAACACCACTGTACAAATTTTAGCTCTAAATAAAATAGGCAAGATCAGTGATCAACTGTATAATGTACATGAAATAATGGAAGTTCCAATTCTAAAATAACACATGAAACAGGCTAGCTAGTCCCATATCCATAAAGTTTCAAAGGAATAAAATATTCTATCATTTCAGAAAAATAAGGAGGTCATTATATTAGAATATATAAAAATAATGACTCCAGTTCTGCCCTAACAATGTTTTTGGAATAAGTTTCCTACTTTTAACAGTATTATAGAAGCATTTTCCCATGAGATACTCTTACACTTTTAGCTAGCAACGCAAAGTATTAATAAAATATTAGCTGGTATCAATATTAATTTCATTACTCGGCATTTCTTTCTTTCAAACAATTATCTAAGATGTAATGGTAATGAATTTAATGTAACATTTCATAATCTATATTTTTACAGATGATGTTACATGAAAAGACTTTAAACATTTTTTCAATAAAAGTTTGTTATATTCATGCATTTTATACTTAAGTTGTTCCAAATGCTAATTAATTCACCTTTTATCTCTTTGGTGAATTTTACCCGATGAGAATCAGTCAGAGGTCTTGGTTGCTCATCAATATTATGAATGTCAAGAACTTCACACATGAATTGAATTACAGGTTGTGCTTTGTAGAAGGCAGTGGCAGAAACTAAGAAAAACACAAATGGTACAAATTAATGTTTCTGTAAAAAAAATTCAGAAATTTGTTCTCAGTTTCCATGATAATTAACTAATTATAAAGTTATAATTATCCTTTATGCATACTTATGTATATAAAAAAGCATTTCTGAATCAAGCAGTTTCAATTTGATGGCTGTTTGACTAGGAGACAGGCAGAAGAACAGAAAAGCCAAGTACTATAGTTTTTATTATCTATTTTTCTTTATGGGTAACTGAATAAAACCTTTCTCTGCTACATGTATAGAAATATTCTGGGTATGAGACAAGGCCTGTAAGGGGACACATGCCAGAGCTCCTTAGCAGAGGAAAAGGTTAGGTATTCTTTTTTTTTTTTTTTTTTAACTTTTATCAGGTTATTTTTTTTAATGTTTATTTTTGAGAGAGTAAGAGACAGAGCATGAGTGGGAGAGGGGCTGACAGCAAGGGAGACACAGAATCTGAAGCAGGCTCCAGGCTGAGCTATCAGCACAGAGCCTGATGCAGGACTTGGACCCAAGAATGAGATCATGACTTGAGCTGAAGTCGTACGCTTAAACGACTGAGCCACACATACGCTCCTAAACAAAGCTTGCTGTGCCACCCTGGCCTGTTTATTCTAGTGAAAGCTTTTCCTGTCTTGCACAGATTTGAGAAGACAGTGTTAGTAAATGATACTGGTACTAATCCAAATTACAGGAAGTAATAAGTAAAGAGCATTTGTCCGATGTGATCTAGCTACAGTTGGTAGTTTACTAACAGTCAACCAGCATGACTTCTTAATCTTGGGCTTCAGAACTAGAAGAGCTTCACCAATAGTTAGCACATCACCATCACTCATTTCTTTTCTTTTTTAATGTTTTATTAAAAAAAAATTTTTTTTTAAATTTTTTTTTTCAACGTTTATTTATTTTGGGGACAGAGAGAGACAGAGCATGAACGGGGGAGGGGCAGAGAGAGAGAGGGAGACACAGAATCGGACACAGGCTCCAGGCTCCGAGCCATCAGCCCAGAGCCTGACGCGGGGCTCGAACTCACGGACCGCGAGATCGTGACCTGGCTGAAGTCGGACGCTCAACCGACTGCGCCACCCAGGCGCCCCCCAAAAAAATTTTTTTTAATGTTTATTTATTTTTGAGAGACAGAGACAGAGCACGAGCGGGGAAGGAGCAGAGAGAGAGGGAGACACAGAATCTGAAACAGGCTCCAGGCTCTGAGCTGTCAGCACAGAGCCTGACACGGGGCTCGAACTCACAAACTGTGAGATCATGACCTGAGCCAAAGCTGCACGCTCAACCAACTGAGCCACCCAGGCACCCCAAGAATTTCCTTAATTTTATAAAAATTATATGGGGCGCCTGGGTGGCGCAGTCGGTTAAGCGTCCGACTTCAGC